GATTTATCTAAACCCCTTTCTTGGAGGGACAGAGTATTTTGAAGTAGAATGCTTCAGCTATGGAAAAAGCAATTAAGTATCTCTTTTTGATAAAAGAAGGCCTGCACTTGATAAATAATTAAGTAATTTCTCAGTCAAGAAAGAAATTCCATGTTAAGAGTTTGTGATCTCAGCTACCAGTTGTGCCTTTGTGGCAGTAGAACATTTAAGACATCTCAATCTAATCTCTTCACACCTTCCTGCAAGCTGGAATCTTGGGAATGCCTGGATGCAGCGTGGTTTTTCCAGCATATCTGCTTTGGTCAGGGCAGCTCAACTTTGACAGAGGAGAGCTAAAATGCTCAAAGCTGGTGACAGGGAAATTGCAGGGGACAGCACAACTCTGTTTACAGCACTTGGAGACTGAGAAACAGGAGACTGAGTTTTAACTCCGAGGTCCAGGACTTTTCATCTTTTGTGATCATGGAGTATATTTAGCTCTGGTATGCAGCTTGCTCCCATCCGTGGGGAACAAGTTCTTCATAAAAGTCGTATTTAGAAGTGACCCGGTGTCCTTGCTACCAAATTATCAGCACAACAACTGTCTGGTTCCCTGGCTGGTGCCCTCAGAGCCAGGGCAGGATGCCCAGGGCTGCATTCATCATTCGAATTACTGAGCATGTGCTTAATACTACGAGTTGGGGCCCATATGCCAACAGCTGCTCAAAGGAAACATGAGATCAAGCACAAGCTGAGCTGCTCTGCAAATTCAGACGTGTGCATCAATCTGCCACATTGGGACTCTGTGGCACCAGCCACAGCAGCACAGGTGAATTTTGGATCTGCCACTGCCCAGCTCCTGCACCCACGGGAAAGGACTCAGGTCTGCTGCTGAGGAGGATGGAGAGGAAATCCACCAGAGGCAACGGAATCACACAGAGAAGATGGCATGACTCAAGCCATGTGCTGTAAAAACAAAACTAGAGCCAGCTCAGGCTGTCTCTCCATCACACAAGCCCATGCCCTGACTGCCCAGGACTGGCTCAGATCCTTCACCCAGAGCCTGTCCCTTGCAACAGGTCTGAGCTCACTCATCATTCACATAGCCAAGGGTGAGGTCACTGTATCAGACCACGCTTTTGTATTGTTTTACAGGTAGAACATGAGCAAATTCTGCCCCAACCCAAAAAATAGGCACACCAAACCCTTGGGTCTGACCCCAGCATTTGGCACCCTGAAGTAGATGGTCAAGAAAATTCTCAAAGCTGTCTGAGCTGCTAATAAATACATGTTTACTCTTAAAAAACACAAAATAAAATAATAAAAAAAAAAACAAGAAAAGGATTTCTTTCCGACTGGCAAGGATTTGGTCTGAACAGCAGTCACCATGCATGAGAACCAGCAGCTGAAGCCGTTTGGAAAATGGATTTGGACATTTCTTAGGAAATGCCCCCTTTCCCCCCCAAGCTTTCATGTTCCTGGCACAGGATAACACCAGGTGCCGGGTGCTCCATCCACATGAGCCTGGCAGAGTGGGATGGGATCCTGCAGCCTCCAGCTCTGGGTAAGGGGGCAGTGGAAAGCTGGAGCAGGGGGATGCCAGCTGACAGAAGCTGGGCACAGCACGTGCCCTTTTTTAAGCATAACCACAGAAAAGATGAAAGTTTGTTGCCTTTTATTTTTAACCCAATAGAGAAATTTTAAGGATAAACAGCTGCAAGGGAGGCTGGGCTGACACAAAGAGAGACTTTCTTCACTTCCTAACTGCAGCAGCATCAACGCATGAAATTTTAAACTCAAAGAGATTTAACTCTTTGTGACGTTGCTGAGACCAAATGTGGGCCAGAGGCAGGGGGCCACCAAAACAAGTAACTACACATGGATGGGGTCTCTGGAGCAAGGACATCCAATGTGCAGCTATGGAAAGAGCTGGATCCTGCCACAAGAGACAGCTTCATGTTTGCAAGAGCTCAGTCACTTACTCAGTCACTGGTAGATCTCCCACACAGATAGCTCCTTCGCTGAGGCACAGCCACAGGAATGCATCTGCCATATGCTGTGTCCAGAGCAGCAAGCACAGAGGAGAACCAGGGAATCCCCACTCCCTGCACAGACTCAAACCTGCCTCCACCTCCAGAGTCCCAGAGGAGGGAACCACCAGGTGGGACCAAGTAGCTCTGCCACATCACCTGATCACATGAAGCATGGCAGCTGCAGGGACACACTGGCACTGCCAGGTGCCTCCAAGCAAAGCACAGTCTGCAAGCCCCAGGCTGAGCCCCAGGCCCAATGCTGCTTCTCTAAACTCAGCAGCCGGATCTCCAAGTCACAGACACGTCCTTTGCCTTGCATTACTGTTAAGATCTCTGGTTACAACAAGCTAGAAACTTCTTTTCCAAACAGGATTTACTACTGACTCCGTGCTGTCTGCTGTGCAAGCGCCTCCCCTGCCAGGACAGCAGGAGGAAGGAGAGAGGCTCCTCGTGGTTTCTCTTTCTGTTCCGCATAGCCCTGGCAATATTTACAGCTGCATTTAGGTGTCTGGGGCTGGGGGGGGAAGCTTTCAGTATATAAATAATCCTCTCTGGTGTTTGAGTAATTTTCATAGTTTCCATTCATTTCAGGTTTCACCAAAACCTGCGTTTTGCGGCTTGATAGCTGAGACATGACTGGCTGCTTGCTCTTCGTTAACTGCCCAGGAGTTAACGGCCCTTCATTCATTCCTGCCCTGCCAAGCCAGCTCGCTCACCAAAGCACCCTGTGCCCCGTGACAATCATCTTTTGGAAACCACAATGCCAACCCCTGGGCACAAACACTTTGCAGAGACAGGAACTGCAGGAGGGAGAGCCAGGCAACATCTCACACCAGGGGCAAAGCAGCCGAGCCACTGAGCTTGCTTTGGGAAAGGTCGGGACCCACCCGGCGTGGTGCAAACAGACAACAGCAATTCAGTGACAGATCCTGACAAACTCCTCATCTATCCTCATATCCAACTGAGGGCCAAGGAAATTGTGGGTCCAAGGGAATGCAGGAGTGGAGCTTGGCAGGCTCTTAGTTTTGTTGGTCTACTGAGGAGACAAAGATGAACTGGCAGCTGAGCTCTGCTGCTCAACTGAGCACCTGAGGCTTTGCTCAGAAGCCACAGAGCAGCCCCAGTTGTGGTGCTCAGGTAAAGGTGGTGCTCAGGTAAACACAATCTGCAAAACCCACATTTCCAGTGATTCTGCTGCAGCAATGACTGAATTCAATTAAATTCTTGTTTACTGATGCTTGCAAATAATGATATATAATCCCCTGCCTCCAGCCCTCCATTCTCCTGGTTCCTGTCTCTTGGCAACTGATAAATAATTTATAATGTTCTCCACTGTATGTGCTAACTGCAGCTCTGCTGGTTTAATGATGAAACCAATGCCTAAGAACTGCAACAGGAACTGTCTAGATCACAAGGAACATGTAATCAGTCGATCCCACACTCCTCTGGATGTGAAAAAGCAAACTGTTGGGAAAAAAAAAATGTTTTCAAGAGCTGCAAGGTAGGAAGGGCACCCAGAAAACTGCAGATAATCTGCAAGGTGCTCCTGCCAACAAGAGTTTTAACGGGCTTCACCATTTTGCTCTTTGCTCCTATGCGTGGCAGGACTCGCCAGAGGCTGCTTTTATTGGCAACTTCTCTCCTGCACTCCCATGCAAAAGTCTCCGGGTTCACATCTCAAGGAGCTGCTGCTTTGGGGGCTGTGAAAGCTCTTGCAGCCCCCATGCAAGGAGAACTATTAAAAAGCAGCATTTTGTCTATGCAGACTAATGTGGCTCTTGCCCCAGAAAAGGGGAGACTCTTCCTTTCATGGCAGATGTTTTTCAGGGCCTTCCAGCAGAGCTGTACCCGCTTGCGAGAAGCGGCGTGTTTGAACCACACACAGCACACGTACACTGGGCGTGCACTATTGTGGCAACACAGCCTCTTACATCCACAAACTCAGCAGAATGAGATTACCCAGGCAGTTGGCAACTGCGGCCATAAGGGAAGAGGAATGAAAGTTTTATTGTTAGCAGGTTTGTTTTTTTTTTTCTTAAAAAAAAAAAAAAAAGAAAAAAAACCCCAAAAAAACTAGCGGAGAGCAGGGAAGGGATGAAGTATTGCTGTTGACAAAGGCCAAAATCCCATCTATTTATATTAGAGTCACACAAAAACCACACCAGGGCAGTGCTCAAAAGCTTTAAAAAATGCACCTACTTTCTTAATGCTCTTAGAAAATAATAATAAAAAACCTTATCAATATTCACTTTCTGAAACGGTGTAAAAAAAGAGCTGCATCAATCATTAAACAGTTAAATGAGGGCAGTATGACAGTCACTATTGTTCTCGTGAAGCACACTTGTCTTTTGCCGAGCAGCTGCCAGATCCTATTAGATGTATAAAAAGAGGACTTTTCTAACCGAGTAGGGATGGTATAAGCCATTGAAAACAGCAGACAAAAGCCCACTTTTGCAGACTATTCAAGCCTTGTATAACATCTGTCCAAAATCAATTTTTGACCTAATGTTACTTTCATTAAGTAACAGACTTTGTTTCCAATGCAATTTGTTTTCTAGGATAAAACTGTATCCTAAGCGTTATTACGTGGGAAATGGCACAGAGGAAGCAGGATCTGATTTGAGAAACAGGAGAACAGAATTTGCTTAATTGTTTTGACACCTTAAGTACTATAATACAGAAACTATTTTCCATTTATTTGAATTCCTGTGAATTCTTGAAGCTGGCAAAACAGAGAGCAATGCACTGGGTTTATTATGACTAAGATTTACTGAGGATAAAGAAGGATCTTTGGGAATTACATTAAAGCTGACAAATGCACAAAACTTCTGAAATCTCCACCAGAAATAAAGTACTCTGAACATTAACAACAGCTGTTGAAACTGTCCACTCTTGATGGCGAAGGCTTTTTTCACACATTTTAAATAATGAGGAAGTTGATTTGTGAATCTGATTTCAAACAGACCGTTAGGAAACATTTCCACTTACCCAAAGGGTCTCTGAATGAAGGCTGGATGTAGCTGCTGCACACCTATGGTAAAACCTAAAAAAAAAAAAAAAAAAAAAAGTTCAGAAAAAAAAGAAATATTAATGAATGGCATCCATTGTACCATTCAACTCCTAACACACAGGCAGAATTACAGCACACGTCTTTGCATTTGATCTGCTATGCATGTGAGCAAATTCAGAGCCCCATTTAGAAACAAGTTAAATTTAACATGCATATGTGATATGCACGAGGAGCAGATGGGAATTCATGATGAAAGCCCAGTGTGAACGTGCTGTAATGGAACAGACAATGGGGTATAAAGCCTTATTTTACACACTGGGTACTGTGGTCATTAAACCAAAGGGAGAAATGACAAAGTGGATCTTACTGTTAATTCTCATGTAACAAAGAGGTTAACGGGCAAACAGATCTGCCGTGGAAGGAAACAGCTTTAACAGAGTAAAATTAACTTTTTTGAGTAACATTAGTGCAGCAGGGCTGAGGAAGAAGATACAGCAGAGAGGTAACTGGACCATGCAGTGTCCTCAGCCAACAATCAGAACTATGGGGGACAGATAAATGTGCATCGTCAGATCAGATGACTCCAGCCTGAGGAACTCGTTTCCTTGTCTTGCAAGTTATTCTAATACAGAGAGATGGGATCTCCCGGATGCCTCACCAGTTTGAATACTCCTTGGTTTTGCTCCCAAATACGCCAGGTTCACATTTGCTTTCCTGCCGTCAATGATGGGGTTTGGGTCTTTGCAAGCTCTTTCAGCAGCAGCTCTGTCTGCCATGGTCACCTGGAATCGAGCACAGCCTTGTTTGTAGCAACAGCGCTTTGTAAACACTCCAGCAACAGGCACTAAAGTGGAGTTTATTTATTGTTCTATTTTGAATCGGGAGCTGAACTCCCTTCGTGCAGCCTCGCTTGCACGGCGAGATGGGAAGGGCTGCCGGGACTCGATGGAAAAGCGGGCGCTCCCCCGCGCCCGGTTTCCCCGCTGGGCCGGTGCCAGCTGTTTTCCCCTGCCCCTCCACCTCCTCCCCGTGCCTTTTTTAAGAAGCCGGTGGAGCCCTTCCCGAAACCCCCGGCGCACTGCGGGCGGGATGCGGGGACCCGCACGGGCATCGGGAGGGGGGAGCAGGTGCTGAAACGAACGGCACGGCCTCGGCCAACACGGGGGGCTCCTCCCGGGTCCCCAGCGCAGCCTTTGTCCTGACCCGGCCCCTCGTTCCCGCAGCGGGCACAAGCTCGGCGGCAGCCACGGCACGGGCGGCGGCTCCGCAGCGCCCGGCACCGGGGGGGGGCCCGCCCGGCCACACCGGGACTTTGTGCGGGAGTTTGTCCGGCCACACCGGGACTTTGTGCGGGAGTTTGTCCGGCCACACCGGGACTTTGTGCGGGAGTTTGTCCGGCCACACCGGGACTCTGTCGCCAGCCCGGGGCTCCGCTGCCGGCCCGTTCCCCGGCGCTCGGGGGGCAGCGCCCGTCCCGCCGCGGAGCGGAGCAGACAGCAGCGGCACTTACAAAGCCGTATCCTCGGGATTTGCCGGTCTGCCGGTCCGTGATCACCACCGCCTCCTCGATGTCCCCGAAGACCTCGAAGTACTTCCTGAGGGAGGAGTCGGTGGTGTGGTAGGGCAGCCCCCCGACGAAGATCTTGGTGAAGGTGGTGTCCTTCTGCACGGTGTGCATGGTGCCGGCAGCGGCCGGCCCCGGCCGGCATCCACCCCGAGCAGAGCCGCGCCCCGCCGAGCCCCCCGCGGCGGCCGAAGGCAGCGGAGCGGCGGCGGGTCCCGGGGCCCTACAGGGGGCCCGCGGCCGGACCCTCGGGCTGGGCCCCGCGCACGCTGCGGCTCCCGGGGAGCAGGGCCCCGCGGGCGAGGGCAGCGCTCCGGCGGGAGCCCGCCAAAGATCCCGCCCGGGCAGCGGTGTCCCGCAGCCCCAGCCCGCTGCTGTTGCACAACCATCGCAACGGCGAGGGCTTGGTCCCTGCGAGGCTCGGGCACCGGGACAAAGGCGGCAGCCGGCAGCCTGTGTGGCGCGCAGGGTGGCAAAGGCGCGGTCCGAGGCAGGGCAGGAGGAAGGGCTGGCGTTGAACGGAATCGCCGAGGGGAAACAGCCAGGGACGGGGTCAAAGAGTGAACAAAGGCTCAGAACTGTCTTTATCTAGCAGGTTCTTAAGGCTCCTGCTTCTCCACTGGGCACCTGGATATGTACCTGTGCAGCCTCTCCGGGGACAGGGATGCGCCGGTCCCGTTCCCACGGTGTAGCCTGCAATGGGGTTTTCCTCCATCCTCCTTTTCAGTTTTGTTCCATGAAAGGACAGGTAGCTCCTGCTGTGAAGTGCCTCTGCCTATGACCTGACCTGCAGGTTTCTGCCCTGACCTGCGATTCAGACCTGGGAGAATTGTTACTACAGCACAGCCCCATATCTGCTGCATGTACCCCTTGGTCCATAACTGCAGGAAAACAAAAGCTGAAAAGCTGCTTGGTACTTCAGAACCCACCACTGGGGAACTCCAATGCAACGCTTTAATTCCTCCTCTCCAGCATCAGTTGGAGTTTGGCGTGTGGGAGAGGATCCCAAAAATCATTATTTGTTCATACTTTCCATCACTCAGAATCTCAAGAACTGCCCCTGTGCCTTAGGTTTATCATTTCTCAGAGAAAGAGATTTTTTGCAACATGATAAATGCAGAGATAACATTTTAGGGGCGGGGGGGGGGGGGAAGCCAGTGAAGTTCTAAATCATCATCTACTTTGGCTTCTATACAGCAGGTTCAGACTCTGCAGACACTTTTTTTTGTTACAGACCCCACAGAGAAAAGCCAATTATTTCAAGAGAAAGGAATGCATTAATGTCTGCACTCCATAGTTATTCATTAATATTTTTCTTGCATCGCTTCCATAGTTCTAAACACCCTATGCTTCATAAAAGAGAGAGGAGGAAAAAAAAGCCAAGGAAAGCCATTAAGCTTTCAGTCCTGAACCACCAGACTTCAAGACTAGGGTGCATTTCCTTTGATTACTGTGGAAGAAAGATGGAGCAGGGCCAGCAGCACCCAACATCACCGAAAAATTGACAGCAAATGGATGGTCCATGGAGCCTTTGTGAACTGTGAAGCCACCAGCTGTGCCTGGTCCATCCAAACAGCAAGCCTGGAACACACCTTTGGGCTGGGGCCTCTCCACCCCCGAGTCACCCCTTCTGTCTGCATGGCTTCCACCACAAACTGCACATCAGCTGCTTCCTGGGCTGCCCCAGCTAATGACAACCCAGCTGGCATTCAGTCACTGTCCTTTTACAGAGCTTCATTCTGCTCCAAATGATGGCAAAGATTCAAATCATCCAACCAGACTCTGGCAGAGTTCTCCAGAGAGACCAGCAGCATCTCTGTTCTCCGTGCTTGTCAGGGGGGGAAAAACAGCACAGGCCTTTTTGTTCTTCAAACACGAGCCCCACGTCTCTCAGAGGAGAAATCCCAGCTCCTCTTCTTCCCTCGAGGCAGGAACAGGAGTTTCTTACAGCGGAACAGAAGAAGGAAGGAGTTCAGGCTGAACCTGTGCTCGGTGAGCAGCACAAAGCCCCCGGTAGTGCTGGCCTGGCCTCGGTTCTGCCACATCCTGGAAAGCAGGAGGGGAAATGAAATCTCCTGTCTCATGGTGCAGCTATTGCAAACACAGCTCTAATGAGCTGTTACCACAAACACAGCAGGAAAGGGAAGAGAAAGTGAGTAGGGATAACTTTATGGAAGTTAATTAGTTTGCTTTTATTTTTTTCCGCCTCGTTCCTGTGAAAAGCACTCATCCTCCTCAAAACACCTACAGATAAAATCCAGCCATCAGATCAAAGCTGCAGGAGCTTGGCAGAGCCAGTTTGCTGACACATCCCTGTGCTTTTACTGCAACAATAGGAGTACCTGAGAAGAGAAGAATATATTTCAGCTTTCTTTGAGTTCTCTCAAAGATAACTCCTGTAAAGGTAAGCATATCTCAAAGTTTGAAGCAGCCTGGGGGAAGGCAGGACATTGCTTAGCACAAATCTAAGAGCAGACTGCAAGCAAGAAGAACACAGACCTGATATAAGCCATTGTAGGGGTGCATTTAGTCCTTTGTTATTAAATAAAACTACACAGGTCAGTCAGTGAGGAGGCTGGGAGAAAAGTCATCTTTTGCAGTGGGTGTACAACCATCCATATCCTTAATGTACAGGATTTGTATTGCACATCCAGAGCATCCTATTCTCATTCAGACTGGGAAGATTAATTTTATGATCATTCAACACAGTTAAGAGGACTCACTGGGTTTTTACTTACATTTTAATACATTCCTCAAGGCTTATGCAAAGTTGATACACAAAGGCTCCTTCTGGTGGACTTCAGCAGCCTTATCCAAGAGGTGGAATGGAAGAGCTGCAGGTCACCAAACCAATGTGCTGGATTCCACTGACAATCCTAGAGAAGGTGGCACTGCAAGATGATCCAGGTACAAATCCATATAGAAATGGTCCCTGCCTGAAGGATGAAAAACAGATTATAGTAGAAAGTTATACCTTTGGGAGCACAAGAAGAGGACAAAGGTGGGGAAAGAGCAGCAGGGAAAATGTCCCCTGTTCCTTGACCTCTGCAAATCCCTTCTGTTCTTGTCCCTCCTTGGCAGTGAAGCTCTGTGGTGCTCTCCTTGTAGACTTGTCTGAGCATTTTCCTTTCTTCCCCAGTGTCTTTGGGAAAAGGAAAGGAAAATGTTGATTTGAGACATCCCAGGTCTGATCTGCGAGCCATTGAAGAACCTGCCTCATTTCTTAGCAAACTGATGGGCTTTATTTCTAAAATGGAGCAGGGCTGCTGTGGAGCTCTGACCTTTTTTAGTTCCTGCTGTGCTTAGCCAAGACTTCATTGCTGTAGGGCAGTGCCCCTGGGTTTTGCCATGGATACCCGCTTATTGCAACAACAGCAGATGAAACATCCCCTTAGAAGCTCCACAGTTAAATAAGTTAACTGGAGAGCAAGGGACTTACTGTGGGAACTGTTTGGTTTGTTGGTTTTACTAATGCTCAGTCTGGATGCTGGCCACCAGCGAGGCTGTGAACAGGGAGATCTTGAGGGAGCTGCATTCAGTGGCATTTGGTTTAGGTTATCGCAGGGAATTCTGCATCTGGGCCCTCTCTCTCAGATTTTTTGGTTTGGTGCCCTGAGCACACCATAACAATTGCTTAACCCAGAGCTGCTGCTGCAACAAGAATTGAAAAATGAAAATCGTTCTTCTTTGGGCCACTTGTAACAAAATAGTTGAGCAGAGGAGGTTCTCAATCAGGGCTGCTTTTTGGCTTTGGTTTCTGTAGGAATCCTCCAACAGGACTGTTTCCTCTTCTGAATATTCCAGAACTGGGCATGCTGAGTGAACTCTTTTTCCTTTTGCTGACTACACTGGTTACACAGAAGCAGATCATCAGCTCTAGTGGGCATCTAGAGTGATCTGATTTAATGTTCCAGTAACCTGCATTAAAAAAATATATGGATATGGACATTGATAACTCTGGGACTGAGAGAACAACAAATGGATCACCTCACTCAATTCTGCTGGACCACAAGCATATGTTAGAATGTGGCTAAAGGAAATGTCATGAAAAACCTAATTCTACTTCCCCAAACTTTCCTGCCCTCCCATTTGATCTCCCTTCAGAAAATGAAAATTGCATATGTGTGCCATGACAAAGGACAAACAGAATCATGGTGATTGCAAATAAGATTCCTGAAAAAGAGGAGGCTTGGAGGAGACATTGCAGAGCCCAGAACTGCTTGGAGGAGCTTGCCACAGGAAGTGCACTGCAAGCCTTGGATAGAAGTATAGATGAAAATAAAGGCATAAAATATGGCCAAGGAAAGTAAGAGGCTGTGCCATCACATTGCTCATACCTCTGCAACTGCCAGCAGGGAGAATGTCTGATATTCAGGAATCTTGTGCTTTGCTCTTTGTGCCGCCATCACCATTTCCCAGGAGTTTCTCAGGGCACAGCTTGGCACTTTTCCTTCCACATGCCCTTGTGCCAGCCCTGTGTGTCAGGGGGAGGATGAAGCAGCTGTTTGGCACCAGCAAGGACTAGGTCAGCAAGGAAAGGTGCTTCAGTGGACCCTGTGGTGGTGTCCCCTCAGTGGTGAAGGTGTGCTGCAGTGGGCACACCTACATTTCTTGGTGCTTTTTACTCTGCCCTTGGGGAATTTCTCCTCTGGCATCCCCAGTTCACTGTTTATCCAGGTACAGCTCCTGGGAGCTGTGTGTACAGACTCTCCCCAGCCCTGGCAAAACACTCTGGGGAGCTGGAATGACACTGGGCTGGGGATTGTCACAGTGTGACAGCAGGGAGCTGGGCTGGCTCTCTGAGCAATCAAAATACTGCCCTTGATTAGGATGGTGCTTGTTTTCTGGCATTGCTGGCATCTCTGCCAAATAGTTTTGTCATCATCAGTATTGTAATGTCTTGGCCTAGAGCAATGGTAACCCTTGCCTTTCCTGTGACCTTGGGGATGATCTCTCTTTGCCCCCTCAGAGAGTGACTAATGAAAAGTGTAGATGTTCATACTGCAGCTAAATTATGCAACAAATTCAGGAAATCCTTCACTAGCTGGTGTTAGTTTCTTCTTTACTTCATAGAAGACAGGAAAGGGATGATAAAGGGTTAGAAGCAGAAAAGGACCAGGGCAAAGCAAACAGTTCATGGTTTCTGGAACAGAAATATCTCTCCAGATTTTCTACCACAACTCCTCCACTGGCAGTAAGCACTGGGGAGCAGGAGCTGTGAGATAGATCCAGAAAACATTTTCCTGCTATGACAGCATCTACAT